TATACCAAATGGGTTTTCCATGGGGAAGGATTTTCCTCGAGAAATACACCTCATCCAAGCAATAATGATGAAGGTTCTACCATGCGTGACGATATTGATGGACTACTTCATGATACATTTAGAAACATAGAGGGCCAGGAAGAGGATGAAGAAGAAGTTGGGGAAAGACTATCTGAAGATGCAAAGAAGTTTTTTAAATTGCTGGAGGAAGGAAAATAAGAGTTATATCCGGGGTGTGAAAATTTTAGTAAACTGAGTTTCATTATTCGATTGTACTTGCTTAAATCATTGCATGGGTTGAGTAATGTGGCTTTCTCTGATTTATTAGAGTTGATAAAAGAGGCATTTCCATTTGCTCAGGTACCGGAATCTTTCAACAAGGCTAGAAACATGATAAAAGATTTGGGTCTTCATTATGAAAAAATACATGCATGCTCTAATGATTGCATGTTATTTTGGAAAAAAAAATGCGAATACGGATAATTGCTCTATTTGTGGGTCTTCAAGATGGAAGAGTGTCAGTCCTTTGACTAAAGCAAACTCTAAAATCCCTATAAAGGTTTTAAGGTACTTTCCTTTAAAGTCTAGGCTTCAGAGGATATTCATGTGTCCTGAAACGGCTGCTGCAATGAGATGGCATGCTAATGAGCGACCCAATGATGGGAATATAAGACATCCCGCTGATGGGGAAGCTTGGAAGGCTTTTGATTCTTTGTATCCAGACTTCTCTAGAGATCCTCGGAATGTTAGATTGGTTCTTTCAAGTGATGGTTTCAACCCGTTTCGGACCATGAGCATTTCTCATAGCACGTGGCCTGTTATATTAATGAACTATAATTTATCACCGTGGATTTGCATGAAGCCGGAGTATATAATGTTGTCTATGATCATTCCTGGTTCATCATCTCCCGGAAATGATAGAGATGTGTACCTACGTCCATTAATTGAAGAATTGAAGGAGCTATGGGAAACTGGGATAGACACATTTGATGCTGAAACCAACCAATCTTTCCGAATGTGTGCTGCCTTATTGTGGACAGTTAGTGACTTTCCAGCATTAACAATGCTTTCAAGATGGAGTACTAAGGGGAGATTAGCATGCCCCACTTGCAATTATGACACATGTTCTCAATATCTCAAACATAGTCACAAGATGTATTACTTGGGCCATCGAAGACTTTTGCCTCGTGATCATCCATTCCGAAGAGATAAGAAGTCTTTTGATGGTAAGGAGGAACATAGACCTGCACCTGCTCCCTTGTCGGTTGAAGAAGTCTTTGAAGAGCTGCTTGAATTCAACAATATCTTTGGAAAGAGCACTAAAAAAAGGCCTCGGAGTGATAAGGGTCCGTGGAAAAAGAGATCCATTTTTTTTGAATTGCCATATTGGGTGCATAACAAATTGAGGCACAATCTTGATGTGATGCACATCGAGAAAAACATATGTGATAGTTTGCTTGGGACTTTATTAGAAATAGATGGAAAATCAAATGATCATGAAAAATCTCGCTATGACTTACAAGAATGGGGATACGAAAGGAGTTACAACCAAGAATAAATAGTGATGGAACTATAAGTGTGGCTAAATCTTGTTTCTACATGGAACCAAAACTGAAAAGTTTATTTTGTACTGTCATAAAAAATGCTAAATTACCAAAAGGGTGTGCTTCGAATATTTCAGAACGCATGCAAGTGAAAGAGATGAAAATATTAGGGTACAAGAGTCATGACGCTCATTTTATAATGCATTACTTGCTCCAAGTTGCTGTTAGAAAAGTGTTGCCCAAACATGTTTTATTGGCCTTGATTAGGTTGGAAAATTTTTTTAGAGCTATATGTAGTAAGGTCATAAGGCAAAGAGATCTTGAAACAATACAGTCGGAAATTGTTGAAATAACATGCGAGCTTGAAAAGATTTTCCATCCAACATTTTTTGACATAATGCCACATTTGCCTATTCATTTGGTGAATGAAATTAAGCTTGGGGGTCCGGCTCATCTCCGTTGGATGTATCCCATTTAGAGGAACCTATGTAAGTACAAGGCATTTGTACGTAATCGGTCTTGTCCAGAAGCATCAATAGCAGAGGGGTTTGTGGCCGATGAGTGCTTGACTTTTTGTTCGAGATATCTACATGATGGCGTTAAGACAAAATTTAGTAGGTACCAAACTGTGGATGATGAGTGCTCTCAAAATTTGTCACCTATATTCCCTAATATAGGCCATCCAATTGGAAGTAAGAAAAAAGATACTTTTCTCATGGATTCGCAGTTATGCTTTGAAACACATCAATATGCTCTGTTCAATACTGGAGATGAACAAATGGAAAAGTTTATCGAGTAAGATAAATTATATAAACATTTATCTATATTTATATAATTTTTTTATTATATGATTAAAACTGAAATGTTCTTGATTGCAGGGAACATAAAAATTTAATTGTTATTCATAGTAGATCAAATGCATGGGTAAGAGCGAGGGATCACAGTCGAGAATTCAGCAATTGGTTTAAACAGAAAGTTAAAAATATTGTTGTGCCAGATTATTTAAGATTGCTAGCTAAAGTACCTACTATGGTAGCCAAAAGATATACTACATATTTTATTAATGGATACCGATTTCATACCAAAGAACGGGATTCCCGATGCAAGACTCAAAATAGTGGAGTGACTTTATCGGCAATAACAGATAGTTTTGCTAGTTCTAGGGACCAAAATCCCATCAATGGTGAGGTTATCTATTATGGAGCGATTCAGGATATCATTGAGATTGATTATTGGGGTTGTTTTAGGGTTGTACTGTTTAGATGTGATTGGTTTCGTAATGAAATAGATGATTATGGGTTAACTCGGGTGTACTTCAATAGATTATGCAGTAGAGATGACCCTTTTGTGTTGGCATCACAAGTTTATCAAATTTTTTATGTGGAGGATCCAACTGAGAAAGATGTTTATTATGCGAGGAGCAAAGTACCTGTTGATTTGTATGATCTAGAGGAAGAGAACTGTCCTAATATTGGAGACACATTTTGGAGGGAACCTAATAATGACATTAGTTCCTCATCTAGATTACTTGATGTTGACATTAGATGGTCAAGAGAAGACGTACCCGTTGATATCATTGATACTCCATCTAATGCACAAAATTCACACGATACAATAGTGGAAACATCGGAAGAGGAGGATGGGTTTGATGATACTGATTGGGACTGGATGGAAGCAGATGATTAAATAAGAAAATTCTGAAATCTTTTAAGTATATTCTTTTTAGAGTGAGTGATAATGCCTTTTTAAATAAATATTTAATGATTATTTTTGTTTATTTCCTTTATAAAATTATTCTGACATGCTTCAATTTTGCAGGATTTGAGATCTGGTAACATTATTGTCGATATTGAATTAAATGATAGAGATTTCGGATACTTTTGTTCGGTTGTTGAGGCCGTCCCTTCTCTCACGTCCTCTTCTGGTTCAGCTGTCCAAGTCTTCAAGTGTGAAGCACAGTTGGTAATTTCTATCCTCCATGAAATTATAGCAACTCTGTGGTCCTTAAAGAGTATATTTTACATGGTGCATTTTGCATCCTATTCCTTATCACAGGGCATCCTTGCTTACATGTTGCTGATTGCTATTGGTCTATGGAAAGAGGACAAGAATATTGGAAAGAATCTAAAAAGATGATCCATTTTTCAAATCTAAGAATAAATATAAATGGGCATGACTTTGGACAATCTAACAAGCTTCCTTTTTTCTTGGCTTTATAGACTCTTTTTTGTAAATGTTCCACTTTTCTCTAAGTTAAATTTTACTCTTTTTGAGTTATCTCCTCTTTCTGATTGATGGAGTTTCTTGGATTCCTTTGGTGTTATCTAGGAGCTGGAGCTAGTGCTGAAATGAGTGATATTTTGCTGGTTGTATTTTGAGCGGAGCATTTTAAAAGACTTGGTCTTAGGTAATTTCTTGAAATTCTGTTCATTGTCTTATTTTCTGATGATAATCTTAGTGATATTTTACACCAGATGCGCACATGTTTGGCCATGTTTGCACCAGATGCGCACATCATTGAAGCAATCAGTTTTGTTGTTGATTGTGTGTGTGATACAGTGATAACATATGCCTATCATGATGTGCCTCTCTTCATGTGATATTGAAATGTTGATCTGCACTTTGATATCACTTCTAAGCACCTCAACTCCTTTTGTATGTTGGTCAATCAGTTCTCTTCCTTTGCTAACCTATATTGTGTTTGCTTTTCAGAATCTGAAAAATATTTGAATAGTCATGAATCAAGAAGGGTGCTCAAGCAAAAATAAGAAAATATTCAACCGCATTCCAGCTGGATCACTTGCATCTTTTCGAAATCAAAGGGTTTCGTCGTTGACAACAAAAAGAACCTTCCAAGCTACACGTTCTAATACAAATGAAGAACGACAATCAGAAGGTGGATTACCCTCATCTTTGCGAAACCAAAAGGTTTCGTCGTTGACAACAAAAACATTCTTGAAATCTATAAGGTCAAATGCAAATGAAGAACGACAATCCGAAGGTGGATCTCAATTGCAAGAACAAGTGCAGCAAGTGCCACAGAATTGCACCTCTTCAGCAACACAAGGAGTACATGAACAAGTGCAACAAGCGAATATGGATTGCATCACTCCTGCATCACAGGGAGTACATGAACGATCTGATGATTCTACCAATCATGAAGCAATTGAACAATTTGAGGAACAAGGCAAATATATATAAATTTTAATCATAAACTTAACTAAATATAGTGATTAATGATTATCTTTGTTTTGTACTATTGCAGGCCCCTCCTCGCCAAAAAGAAAAAGAGGTCGTACTCAAATGCCAAGTGTTCATGTTAGAAAAGAGCGTAAAATAATCACTCTAAATGAGTTTAATCAACCCATTGGTCCTACTAAAGAGGTTGTAAAAGAGTTGGGTAGCTTCCTTGGCACATTGGCAAGGAGTGGGAATTTTTCTCCTCTTAATGTAGTTAATTGGAGGAAACTAGATACAAAAGATGATATGTAGAAATATATCAAGGTATGAACCAATGTCCAATAAACATGGATGATATTTCTTATTTCTTACACTAACCCAATTGCACTAAATTTGTAGGAAAAATATGACATTCCTGACGAGGCGAAAAAATGGATTTTTGAATCAGTTTGTAGTGCTTAGAGAAAGTATAATAGTCAATTGAAGAAAACCACTTCACAGCCTATGAGAATGATGAGCTTCGTATGAAGAATAGGCCAGTAGATGTTCCAGAATCTCACTTTAAGGATCTTCTTAACTATTGGAACTCTGATCCTCACAAGGTAATTACATCCAGAATCTCTTTTCTAGTCTTCGGTGAGTCAGTCTAGTCTTCGGTGAGTCAGTCACACTTAGGAACTGTTCTGACTTCTTGCCATAGCTTTTTAAGTCCCAGCTCAGTCAGTCACATTGTCACCCACCCCTTGGTAGTACTTGCCCTGTCTTACTGGTATCATTTTATAGTCCAACCATTTCAATTTGAGGCATTACAAGCAGCTAGCTTATATATTATATAGAAAAATGAACAAGCAATCATCATACTTGGAAACTCAACTTCAGTTAATTAACTTATTTTAAAACTTGTAAAATCACAATCCTGATTGGTTTTCCAATAAGATCCTATAAAGTCCATAGTGAGTAAAATCCATGTACATGAAATTTTGTCTTGTGTTGTTTGTATCTCACTTGTAGAGGCACAAGTTAATCTTCTTGCTGAAATAAAGTATAATCTGATGTTGCTTCGCCCTTGTACACTTGCACGAAAAATGATCCCAGTTTATGAGATACACATGTCCCTTCAATCTCAAAATGCATATCTGTGCACATATATTTTAAGAGGATGCTGCAGTATTGGCTAACTAATCTCCCCTTAACATTCATCTAAGTGCATGGTATTGGGATGAATATATCTAAGCTCTTCAGATGTATTCACTTCAACATCTACTACCAAGTCCTTTAATCAAAGAAGTTATAGAGATGAATTTGCAACTACCTGACTTTCAACCTTTTTTTCTAGAGCAATGACAGTACTTAATCAAGCAAACTTTAATACTATGAGTGTAGTCTTGGGTCATAATGTGGGTAATGGGCATAATTGTTGGTTTCTATTTGGTTGACTCGTTTATTTGCAGAAAATGTCCGAAACCAATACAGAGAATCGAAATAAATTGAAGTGTCCACACACAGATGGCAAAACACCTTTTGCTCTAATTCACGAGGTTTGATGTTTTATCTTTCTTATTTTTTTAAAATTATGAACTTTCTAATTTTATATGGAAAGATTCTTATACTTGTTTTCATGTAACTAGGAAAAAAGAAGAAAATCTCTGATACTTCAGATACTGTATCAAGTAAGGACATATTTGTGGCTATAAGAAAAAGAAAACTTGGTCGAGTATACAAAAGCTCATATGACAATACAATTAGTAAAATTGTACGAAATTTCTAATTTAAAGTTTGTCATGCTTATTTATTTGTTCTTAATTATTGATTCAACTTTAGTTAATTAAAACTCTTTTTTCTCGCATTTGGTTTGTAGGTTGAAATGGAAAGAATACAATCTACTCAGGAAAGTGAATATGTCAATCATTCAACTGACGATTTTACATCAGTCATGGGACCTGAACATCCAGGTCGTGTGAGATTGTATGGACGAGGGGTTACCAAGACTGTGTTAAAAGGGCAAAAAGGGAATCTTGGATCTTCTGATGAGAGGATGCAGCAAAAAATAGAGGAAATGGAAGAGAGGATACAACAAAGAATGTATGAAAAGTTGAACGGACAAAAGGATGCTATGGAACAAAATATTACAATGAACGTCATCGCACGACTTCAGCATCTGAACCTAGATTTGCGACTTGATCCTGACATGTTAAGGTTTAGTGCACGTTCACATGTAGATACTTCCTCTGCACAACAAGCTATTGTTCAACTAAACAGTTGACCATCTACTGGTAGTAACAATCAAGGTCAGTACGTACCAAATATTATAACAATCAACTTCACTTGAATTTAAAAGGTAGAGATGCAACGTCTGTGTGTTGGAACTTTTTGCTTCTTTTGTTTAAGATCTTCTTGATGTACTTTGCCAATATCTTTAGCAATTCTAATCAGTTGTGCCTACCCTAATGGTTGTGCCTATCTCATCACGATAATCTGATTGTTTAACTAAAGAACCTTAGATCGTAGTCATACTTTGTCTATATTGATACTGTCTAGTTAAAAAATGGTTTGTATGTCATCATGATAATTTAATGAAGGTATGGACCCATTAGAAAAGCGATCACTTCGTCGCTTAAAGCGCTAAGCGACACTGTATCGCTTCTGGCTGCTCGAAGCGATGCGATATTGAAAAGCGCGCGCTTCACTAAAAAAAAGACCCCTAAATAGTCACAACAGACCACTACTTCTCCCCATCAAAATAGAGACATCGACAAAAGGCTAGGGTTGCCCTTCTCTCTCAAGCTCGAGCTCGACCACTGCTTCTCCAGTCCAGGTAATTTCTTTCTCCTTTCTTCTTCCTTTCTTCTTCTCATTTCTTATTTTTCTGCTGCTTCTTCTTCTGCTTCTTTTGCTTCTGCTTCTGCTTCTTCTTCTGCTTATTTTTCTTCTGCTTCTGCTTCTTCTTCTGCTTATTTTTCTTCTGCTTCTGCTTCTTCTGCTTCTGTTGCTTCTTCTTCTGCGTCTGTTTCTGCTTCTTCTGCTGCTTTTGCTTTTTGCTTCTTCTATTTCTGCTTCTGCTTCTTCTTCTGCGTCTGTTTCTGCTTCTTCTGCTGCTTTTGCTTTTTGCTTCTTCTATTTCTGCTTCTGCTTCTGCGTTATTATATTTCAGCATATAAAATTAATTATATATATATATGTATTATTTTTATTTTGCTTGTCCTATGGTTTGTTGATGATTTGGTGGTACCTAGTACCTACTTTTAAGTATTTAAATTGAAATTTTTGATTATTTATAATTTTACATTATGTTTTTTAAGAATTGCGCTTCACTTTAATAAAGCGTGCGCTTCGCTTTTGAAGCGAGGCGAGCCCTTGTCGCTTTTTTGTGTTTCACGCTCTCAAAAACACTAGTATGGGTACATTTTAACCTAGGGTGCCACAGTAGTCCTGCTAAATGATGATCTGCATTCATCTATCTGTTTAGTTTTGACCATTTATGTTTTTGGATCTTTCATGATCATGTGATGTCTAAGACACTATTTGAGAAGACTTCTTTTGTCAATATGGGTAACTGTTCACTTTGGTAACCTAATAGATTGATGAAATGATGTTGAACATGTATTATGCCGGTAGGATTCAAAATGGAAAGTTTGTTGGTGTAACCTGTTTATTGACATCACTATGTATAGAAGAACTTAATCATGAACTGGAGTGATATTTGGATCTTGCAATTTGAAAAAACTGTTAAACTATACATTGTCACAACAAGATATTATGCTCGTTAGGTCCAAACAAAATTAAAACTAACTTTCCTACCTGCATTGATCTCTCTGCTGGTTTAGCGGATNAGATTATTGAAATGCATGCTGACCTGTCCTAAGTGACATGAACATATTCAAGGATCCTGAAATGTTGAACCTTCAATAGAATTAATAAAGCAAGTGTACATATCCTTCTTTGTCACTTACTGATGCTTAGATCACATAATAAGGCATCTCTGAACTTAAAGTGGTTAAAGATAACACCTATCTACTGATAATATGCAACTTATACAGTAAACATATACTGGTAATATGCAACTTACTGATGTTTAGGGCTAAATTTCAGAAATGTCATTGTTTTAAAATGTTTTGTTTAGTTTCTCTACAAAACTGTTAGATCAGTTGGTTCACTTTCTAGGACATTTCCAGCGAGAGAAACACGTGTAATTGGTCCTTTAGTTGAGCAACTAAGTAATAGGAACCTAGACGTAGCAGCAGAAGCTGCTGCCTCACTTGGGAAGTTTACTTGTCCTCAGAATTTCTTGGGTATGAAGCACTCAAAAACAATTATCGAATTCAGAGGTGTTCCTCCCGTGATGAGACTGTTGAGAGGAAATGAACAATCAAAATTGAATGGATTGGTTCTCCTCTGCTACCTAGTATCACATGCTGGTAACAGTGAGGCTCTGGAACAAGCACGAGTATTCACTGCTCTCGAGGGAGTAGATCGCCCATCAATTGCTGCACATCCTGAGTTAAAGGAATTGATGCCAGAGGCAATGTATCACCTAAATGTTTATCACTCTGGTGTACTTACTGAGAGGCAATATAATGGTCATTGATCAGCTGAAATAACGGTTTAAATAGTGGATGTTTCGTGCTGGTTTTGTAATTATGTTTGTGATTCTTCTTATGAATTATTCTTTACTTTGCCATCATAGCTTAATAGTTTGAAAGTCTTGGTCTTTGGTAATAATACCAGATTATTATAATGTTGTGTATAGTTTGTTGAGATGAATAAGTTGGATTAATAAAAGAAGAACGAAAATAGTTAAATGCTTGAGTATTCTTAGACCGGATTTGGTTGAAGGGTAATAACTTTATTTATCCTCTTTTGTAGGTGGAGTAGATCAAGAAATGAATGATGAAGAACTAGACCTTACTTGAAATGAATTTTGTATTGTTATAGATGAATATTCTAGTAATCTTTTGTTACCAACATTTTTGAAACTTATTTACTCTTTTGAAATGTACTAAACTTATGCACTCATGGGGTAGAACATTTGCTTTATGGATAATTTTATATTATTAATAGTTTCATTTTATTGTGTATTTAAATTTTAGTATTATTATAATTTATTATATGTATAAATATTTATTTATAACAGGTGCTATATTTTGGTTTTAACTGAATTGATACAATAGCCTACCAGAACCGTTCCAATAGGACATAAATGGCGTTCCAGTAGACTATGTAAACCGTTGCAATAGGTCCCATAAACTGTTCCAAATATAAATATAACCGTTACCATAGCCTAAAGAAACCGCGGCTATATCCAACATAACCGTAGCAATAGCTTACATAAGTGTTGCTTTAAATAATATGGTAACGGTTAAAAACCGTTGTATAAACAATACAGTAATGGTTTTGAACCGTTCCAATTGAAAAAAATAATCGTTCCAACAGAGAAAGGGAAAACCGTTGCGATAGACTTATCTATTGTCACGGCTATGCAAACCATTGCAAGAACCATTCCAGTAGACCTATGGGTACGCCGGCTGATGTGACGGTCTTTAAACCGTTCCAATATCCCAATGGCAACGATTTTGCAGTCTGTTGGAACGGTTTTCCAACCGTTGCTGTAGACCAATTTTCCAGTAGTGACGGATAACAAGAATATATATACACATGATTTAGCTTTCGGGGAATTGGGAACATATGAGATGCTCTTTATCCTCTAAAAGACAAGGGAGTAAACAGAAGGTAAAATATAAATAGAATTTACGACGCAATTACATTATGTATTAAAAATGAAAAGTACTATACTCCACTTATTATTTTACATTAAATAATTGCCACTACTTTTCATGTGACCTGCATGAAATGTTTTTTAAAATCCACTGACAAAGGAAAAAAATAAATACTCCATCCAAAATAAACTTGAAGACATCCGTACTATGATGTGATTTGAACAACATTCTTTTTTTATTTAATTTCTTATTAAAAATGAAAACGTATTAATTAAGCATGTTTTCTAACAACTTGAGCCCAGAGGCGGACCTATCCTATATCGAGAGGGTTTACCGGCATCCGTCAAGTTCGACAAAAATTTCATGTATACTTATATATATATTTAGAAAATAGTAATATATTAGTACTGAACACCTTACATACAAAACAAATTTTGGTTGAATCCAAAAATACACCACAATCTTCAAATCTTAGGTCCGTCTCTGCTTGAGCCTATATTTCTTCAGAAATGAAACGAGAAAATGATGATTTAATTTCCTGTGGGCGCAAGTTTCTTTTTCTTTTTGATTTCCAACATGGTGTTCGGCATCCATCTAGGCTCCCTGTGAATAAAGGCAGATTCAGAATTTAAAGTTTATTCGGTTCCTACACCGATCTCAAGNATATATATATATATATATATTAGTTGGATTCACGTGAATTTGTAGCCAATAATGTGGATCCACTACTGCTAACTAATACAAATCTTTGTCGTGTAAGACCTATTAAAGAGGAAGCGCTCCCGACCGAACGATATTTTATTCCCAACACTTCATATCCATCTCACCACAATCCCAACGTGTACTTTTGATTTTATCTAAGTTTTCTCTTTCTCTTACTTGAAGCTACTCCATCCAAAAAGGAAATAAAAAAAGGATTTTTTTTTTTACTTTTAGTCCGCATCAAAAACTATTTACATTCATTAATCAAAAAAGTGTATAAAGTTTATATAATTTTTGTATTAAACATACAATAATATATTATATTTGACTATTATTTTGAGAGCACGTGCTATTTTCCGAATAAAAAAACAGTATGTGTCAAACGAAAATCATGCTAACTTCCCAAGAAAGACTTTGGTGCAATTATTTTACTCCAACCCTTGAAAACGCAAGCCTTGTCTATATTACATTATTACTAATCATTAAGTGTTTAAGTCATCCTAATTTTTGATATTTCAGATATGATCTCTAAGTATTTTTAATGATTAAACCCGTGGGATATATAGGGCGGAACCTTGACATTTGTTCAATTAAAATATCCTCGAAGCTGGAAGACAGCTTCTAGTAATATATTAAACAACTTCGAAATAATTAATGTTCCAAAAAATATCCAATTTAAGAAATTTCCACCACAATTTCACACATGAATGTTTCTGGCCCACTTCTACAATTAGGCAGGAAAATTAAAGTCCCCCATTAAGTCAATTTTATTACTATTGGATAGTGTCTCAGTAGATTTTTTTTTAACTGTTTCCGAGTAAAAATATGCAAATATATGAATGCTTAGTTAAACTTGCTTTAGGCTCTATATTGGTGGAGGCCTCATTTACTGTCACACTTAATATGTGATGTATAAATTTAAAAAAGGATTCTGTAAATTAAAATTTTTTGATTTTTTTCTTTAACAAATATAGAGAAGAAGAATATACAACTACTATAATATCTGCCAAGAAAATTACACTTGAAATGAATATTGAACCCAAATTTCATAGGAAACGTGTGATATATAAGAAGTAATAATTTGATGAAAATGTTGATAATAAGATCTCAAAATCTTCCGAAGAATCCTTTGGAGTTGATTACTTTATATATCGTAGACAAGGCTATTTTTTTTATTATTTCAAAATAGATTTGAACAATTCGAAGCATATAAAACTATTTTTGGTTTTCCATTTAGCAGTAAAAATTAAGATCACTAGATGATGAAAATTTGAAAAAATATTGTATTAATCTTGAATGTTCCTTAAAAGCATAATAATCAATTTGATAATAATGGTTTAGATTTATTTTCGGAATTAAAAGTATTAAGAAAAATAGTACAATTAGAAGATAACAGTTTAATTGTACTTGGTCAAATAAAAAGATTCGATTCTTTTTGTAATGCATGTAATGCTTATGGAACAATGTTAATAACTCTTGTTATCATCGCTTCGGCGAAAAGAATTTTTCAAAATTAAAATTGATAAAATCTTACCTAAGATCAACAATATATCAAGAAAGGTTAAATGGACTAGCTATATTATCAATTAAGAAAGACTTATTAGGAGTTATGATTATAAAAAAATTATTAATAACTTTGTGTCTAAGAAACGTTAGAAAAATAGACTTCAAATAAATAAATATTTTTTTTAAAAAAAAAGAAGTTAAGGCCCCTCGTACAGTTTAGCTTTAGGCCACAAAACTCGTCAGGCCGCCCCTGGTTGTATTGGAAAAAATCAAGTTAACATTTGGAATTAATTATGTGCTGACATGTCAGGATACGTGGATCAATGAAAGAATGACAGCTGGCAAAGAACATTCAAAGAGACACGAGCCTTAATAAGTACGAGCAAAGGTTCAAGAAAACAAGAAGGAACGGTTACTAGAACCTCTTGGTAATTTAATGAGATATCAGAGGAATGAACCTAGATAGCAAAAAGTTCAGATACGTATTATCAGTAATTAATGAGCATTGATAATGGATATAGAATCTTCATGTACGATTGTCAATTATAATGTTACATTAATGCCACTAATTGCTCATAATGGCTCTGTTATGAGAGGAAAGAAACGTATTACTTAGAAATAGCTATAAAATGAGAGGAATAACATTTGTAAAGGGACAGAGAATATTATTGGAATATACTGATTTATTTTTCTTTGCTTAATTTATTATCTTTCAATTCAATTCTTTCTTTTAATTATCTAGTCGTTTTTTTATTTGATTATCAGTAACCCGAGCTCTTCTAAAATTAAGCTTTGATCGAAATTCTAATTTTTTGATTAAACAAATTGAGTTCGTTACCGGGAATCTGATAATCTTTTGCTTTCCAAATCGATTCGTTTGTCAAAACAATCATGTCAAATGTCAACGACAACAACCAACAAAATTTAGAACACCAAGAAGATCCGCAACATCAGCTGAACCAACAAGATGACAGAACTTCAGCTCCCTCACCACAACATTCTCCTCGAAAATCACGAGAGGGGACTCTTGACATATCTGAATCGAATGAAAATTAGCGGCTCGAAAATGATCAAGCTATCGATGAGGCTTTCAAAAAATTAATCGCTCAACAGGTTAGCAATGCTCTTCAGGCTTTCATTAACCAGTTGCCGATTTTACCACCAACACCAACTCCAAACAACAACACCCTAGAAAATCCTCGCTCAGGACTCGTTAACTCAGGCAGTGGCAGAACTCTCAGCGAGTCTCGTGATGGAGGGCCAGGTAACCCAGTTAATTCTGATTTACAAAATTTAGTACTAACTTTGCAGAAACAGCTCAAGGAGCAGAGTGACCGCATAGAGCAAATACCTGGAGTGCCGCCTACAATCAAGGGAATAGATATGGACAAATACTCACAACAACCTTGGAAGCCAAGTACTTCTCCTCTACCGATTCCGAAGAAATTCAAAATGCCCGATATGCCGAAATATGATGGAACAAAAGATCCACGGGATCACATAACTGCATTCACAACCGGTGTAAAGGGAAAAAACTTGACCAAACAAGAAATTGAATCAGTATTGGTCAAAAAAATCAGAGAAACACTCAATAAAGGAGCATTAACATGGTACTCTCTTCTACCTGAAAATTCTATAGATTCTTTTGCTGAGCTTGCAGACTCATTTATCAAAGCACACTCGGGAGCTCAAAAAGTGAAAAAAGAATGGAGGACATTTTCGAAATAAAACAAGGGGATACATAGCTGCTCAGAGAATTCGTAGACAGATTCCAGCGTGAGAGGATGTGTTGCCACGTGTACGTGACAACTGGGCGGCTATGGCCTTTGCCAGTAATCTAAATGAAAAAGTTCAGAAGTCGCGAGGAGACTCAAGGAAAGTTTACGAGAATTTCCAGCAACAACTTGGAATGATGTTTATAATAGATACAACACGAAGCTGCGGATAGAAGAAGATACCATCATTCAGTCTCGAAAAGATGAAAGGGTAAGTTCAAGACGAGCTGAAACCGAAAAAAGGTCCAGCAAAAATAGATACGAGCCTTACAAGGGACCAACAGGAAGAGACTCGCGTTCAAAATAGGAAAACCCAAGGTACGATCATAGATCAAGAGATAGAGAGTGGAGGAGAAGAGA